AAAACACAAACAATGTTATAAAATACTAGCCTTAAATTATCAGACACAAACATTTTAAAATAGATGTTACTTGTCTAAAATTATCAGACGCAAACATTATAAAATAGACGTTACTTGATTAAATTATTAGACACAAAAATTATAAAATAGACGCTAATGGTCTAAAATGATCAGACAATAAACACATTATAAAATGAATGTTGTCTAAAATTATCAGATACAAAATACGTTACAAAATAGTAGTTACTTGTCTAAAGTTATATGACAAACATTAGAAAACAGATGTTACTTGTCTAAAATTATCAGACACAAACATAAAAAAGATGTTACTTGTCAAATGATTAGATAATATAAAATGGACGTTTCTTGTCAAATAAATCATACACAAAAGATTTTATAAAACAGGCGTTACTTGTCACAAATTATCAGACACAAACATTATAAAACAGATGTTACTCATCTAAATTATCAGGAAAAAACATAAAATAGACGTTACTTGTCTAAAATTATCAGACACACAGATCATAAAATAGACAATACTTGTCTAAAATTATCAGACAAACATTAGAAAACAGACGTAACTTGTCTAAAATTATCAGACAAAACATAAAACAGATGTTACTCGTTGAAAATGATCAGACAGTATAAAATGGACGTTACTTGACAATGAAATCAGACACAAAAGATGTCATAAAAACAGGCGTTATTTGTCTAAAATGATCAGACACAAACATTATAAATTAGACGTCACTTGTCTAAAATTATCAGACACAATCATTATAAAATATACATTACTCTTCTAAAATTATCCGATACAAAAGACGTTATAAAATAGTCTTTACTCGTCTCAAATTATTATGCACAAACATTATAAAATAGATGTTATTAGTGTAAAACAATCAGACAAAAACATCATAAAATAGACGTAAAATTATCAGACACCAAAGATTATAACATTTTAAACCTATCAAATATTATAAAATAAATGTTACTTGTCTAAAATAATCAAGCATTATAAAATATAGGTTATTTGTCTAAAATTATCAGACACAAACATTATAAAACAGATACTTGTCCAAAATGATCAAACGCAAAAGACGTTATAAAATAGACATTACTCATCAAAAATGATCAGACACAGACATTATAAAATTGATGTTTATTTAAAATGATCAGACGCAAAAGGAGTTAGATATAAAGTGACAGACAGCTCCAGGATTCTGATCTACACTCACTGTAATAATAAACGTATAATAGATGATGTATGAGCTCCTCCGCTGTTCTGGCTGTTCGCATACAGCACCGAGTGTCACGTGAAATCAATCCGTCTGTTCTGCTGTACATGAATATGGCCTTCGTCTCTCCGACCACCCAATCCTCCAACACTTGCCTTTTTCTCAGTCTGCTCGCTCTGTAACAGCATGTTTCGTGGGAACGCTTCACAGCATAATATCGGCGGAGTGTTGGCGCTCTGGGTGTCGCGGATGCTGTTTTTTTTGGCTGGTTTTGCTGTGGTTATTGGTGGAGTCGGATGGAACACAGGCCTGAGATCTGTGACTCTGCACATCCATCACCAGAGCTGGGTACACTGCGGAAAAAACTATACTTTGAAGAAACATTATAAAAAACACTGTTAGAGCTAAATTTAGAAGTGTTGTTCAATTTGTGTTAAATTCTTTTGGATTTAATTGAATTTAAATTAAATGTATTTATTGTCTTCAAGATTTAAACATTCAAACAAAGTAAAGATGTTGTTTACTCTATAGACTAGGGATGTAACGGTATTGTAAATACCGTCATACCGCAATATTAATTTTTTTCGATATTACCGAAGTCGCATGACTCGGTAAAACTATAGGTCTTCTGAGAAAATTTGCTCAGGCGAATGAAGCGAACGGGAGGTAGCTGAAACTTCATTTCCCATCAGCCCCGGCGTGGCCATAATCCTTTGCGGTCTGTTGTCGCTACAGATCCAGTAATGCGGAAATGGAGTGTGCTGCTAGTAGCGGAGATGAAAAAAAGATGGAAATGATCGAACCTAAAGCGGGTGTTGTCGCCGCGCGCTTGCTGAATAGCGGTGCTGTCGCGCGCGTTCTGATCAGCTGTGTTGTGGCGCGCGTATTGTAAAGCGCCGAGGGGGGGTTGAACGCGCATACTCAAGAGAGGTGTTATCGCGCGCCTACTGAAGGGCTGGACTGGACGGAGGGTGTGTCGCGTCGCGGGGGCACTTTTGATCGTTTTGGAAGGGCATTTTCTATCCAAGACTAAAAAGGGCATGTGCACTGCACAGGTTGAGCCCTATGTGTGCACATGCCTGCAAGTTGGGGAATACGACTTATAACAGTCATGGGGACTGCAGAAACACAGCACACTGTTCAGATTGATGCAGACATTGACTTGTACCGCAAAGAGATCTCTATCTCACTCATGGCTTGTCCTCTCAAGTGGGGGAAAGACAATGGACAACGTTACCCACTGCTGTCAACCTGGGCCAAGTCATATCTCTGTCCCAGAATCCTCAGTCCCAAATGAGAGGGGTTTTTTCTATTGCAGGGGACATTGTAAATACCCAGAGATACCAGCTTTTACCAGATTATAGTTATATGATAATTTTCCTTTAAACCCATCTCTATCTAAGTGAGTGATTAAATGTTGAATGTGATGAGTTTTCAACACTACTAAATTGAAACTTTATTTTTTTACATGGTTTAATAATTTTTTGTTATTAAAATTGAAGTTCCTGTTTCAAAGCTAACAGATAGATGGCTAATTTGTATGTCATTGACACTTTTGGCACTTTTTTGGAGTATTTTCAAAAGTTTTTTTTTTTTCCTGTAAATGATTCAATAAATACCGTACCGTGACATTCATACCGAGGTATTACCGTACCGTGAAATTCTGATACCGTTACATCCCTACTATAGACTATTACTATTTTATTTTTACTTTAGTACAATGTAGATTTTTAGATTTACCTTTTTTTCCTTAAAAAGAAAATATAGTTATGATTTGGACCCATAAAAAAATACTGTAATTTATTACTGAAAAACAGTGTAGTTTCATTCAAAGTTTACAATTTTATATGGATTTATTGTGGTTAAGATTTAAAATGTTACATTCACACAAAGTAAAAATGTTGTTTACTATATAGACCACTATTTATTTATTATACTATTATTTGTTTGTACTTTGGTACAATGTACACACACTCACTGGCCACTTTATTAGGTACATCTCACTAGTAGCAGGTCAGACCAACTTTTGCCTTCAGAACTGCCTTAATCCCTCATGGCAGAGATTCAACAAGCTACTGGAAATATTCCTCAGAGATTTTGCTCCATATTGTCATGATAGCATCACACAGTTGCTGCAGATTTGTCGGCTGCACATCCATGATGCCAATCTCCCGTTCCACCACATCCCAAAGCTGCTCTATTGGATTGAGCTCTGGTGACTGTGGAGGCCATTTGAGTACAGTGAACTCATCGTCATGTTCACCAGTCTGAGATGATTGAGCTTTATGACATGCTGCGTTATCCTGCTGGAAGTAGCCATCAGAAGATGGAGACACTGTGCTCATAAAGGGATGGACATGGTCAGCAGCAATACTCAGGTAGGCTGTGGCGTTGATGCTCAATTGGTACTAATGGACCCAAAGTGTGCCAAGAAAATCTCCCCCACACCATTACACCACCACCACCAGCCTGAACCGCTGATACAAGGCAGGATGAGCCATGCTTTCATGCTGTTGAGGCCAAATTGTGAGATGAGCATCCGAATGTGTGTACCGTCATTCCTTCAGTGTTTGGTTATTTAGAGTAAACTGAACACCTTTAAGAGGAAACGGTGAGCTGATGCTGACATGAGGAGATTCAGATGAAGACAGGAGCACTAAAAGAGTCTGTGCTGCCCTCTACTGGACACACACTCACTCAAACACACATGCACACTCAAAACACAAACACGCATTAGTACTGGGTTGCAGCTGGAAGGGCATCCGCTGTGTAAAACATATGCTGGAATAGTTGGCGGTTCATTTCGCTGTGGAGACCCCTGATGAATAAAGGGACTGTATAAGCTGAAGGAAAATGAATGAAGTAATTTAACCACATTGTAAAAGTGTTACCACATTTATGTCATTTCTGATAGTTTTATGTATGTTTGCATTATAAAAATGACTATTGTTGATGTAATCTGCAGTCATGCCAATAAAACAATTAGATTTTGAACTCTCTCTCTCCCTCACACACACACAGATGACCGTAGTTCTGCTTCATCATGACTCCAGACTGCTGAAACTCATCTACAAGCTCATCATCACAGATCTTTAGTAAGTCGAGCTTTTATTTGTATTACACTCTTTTACACTGTTGCATCATTTCTGTCTATTTCTACTAATAATAGCCATCAAATCCAGCATCTCTGTCTTTTAGTATATTCGGGCAACCATAGGGCATTACAGTCAGATAAATCATTATAGGATCAAAAATAATGACCTGTTTTCTCCTCATTTAAAAATAAAAAATGTTCAGAAAGCCATGCTTTTACCTCCTCCAGGCAAGAGGTAAAGTGTACTGTACAGCAAGAAGGTCGCTGGTTCGATCCTCGGCTCAGTTAGCGTTTCTGTGAGGAGTTTGCATGTTCTCCCTGTGTTCGCGTGGGTTTCCTCCGGGTGCTCCGGTTTCCCCCACAGTCCAAACACATGCGCTATAGGGGAACTGGGTAGGCTAAATTGTCTGTAGTGTATGAGTGTGTGTGTGAATGTGTGTGTGGATGTTTTCCAGAGATGGGTTGCGGCTGGAAAGGCATCCACTACATAAAAATGTGCTGAATAAGTTGGCGGTTCATTCCGCTGTGGCCACCCCAGATTAATAAAGGGACTAAGCCGACAAGAAAATGAATGAATGAATTATTATCATCATGATGGCTGTAACATTTGAAATCTTAAGTCAGATGTGTGAGTTGTGTTTTTGTGGCAAGAACAACCAAATACAGGAAAATAAATGTAAGACATCTCTTTTATTTTTATATTCTCCTATATATTCTACATTGTTTTCATTTACGACTACATGAAAAAGACATTATTAACATATAAAACACATTCTCTTAAACTAAAAACTTTAACATCAATACAGAAAATCGTCCAATAATCTCCTAAAGTGCATATAATGCAAAGTCATACAATCAAAACAGTGAAAACACAAACAAACATTGGTATATTTGAGATTTAACACCATTGTTTTTAAGTTTTCCATCAAAATCACACCTTGAATCCCTTTACATTCTTGCAGAGACATAAAAACAACATTCATGACAACAGTCGAGTGGATAATCTCTCATATTACTGTGTGATTCACATATAATACTACATATTCGAGGATCAGTTTAATACTGAAGAGGCTTGAAAATCAATAACACAGCACTTTTCCTTAATGTAGGATTCATTAATGTTCTTTAATTTTACTCTGACGTCTTTACTCTCTTCTGTTCCTAAAATGTTGCACAGATGAATTCAAACACAGTTGAGATTGAAGGAGAACACATTAATGCATGTATAAATAATGACATAATCAGAATATAAACATCATCCTGAAGCATTATTGTAGATTGTCTTGAGAAGCAGAGATAAAACGTTGATGTAAACTGCTGAAATTCACAAGATATGAATACGAGAGTTTGCGTAGAGCTGAAATATCTGTATATGGCTTTAATATGATGTTTAAGTGATTATTTGAGCTGATTTATGGTTCAAGTATGTGCATTCGTTTTGTTTTCTCTGAAGTAATGTCTTCATGTCAGATTCCTCATGCTTCGTTCTCTGCAAAATGCTTTTCTTTCTTAGAGCTTTTGTCTTGTTTTTAGTCCAAATATCTAAAAACTCTTAAATCAGGAAGCATTTTCTGGACAAGCACCAAATATTGTGTTGTTTTCAGAAATGATGAGTCAGAATTAGGAGAGTTTTTCTTTAAGACAAGTGAGGTTTCACTAACTATTTTCCAGAGGAGATTATTCCAAACTCACAATAAATAGCCTGCCTAAAACGGCTCCCTCATCTTCCTTCTCCGAATATTATCAAGCAATATCTGTGGGAACTCTTGAAAGAAAAAATAATCTGCCAATCGATAAGTAACTTTGAAATAAGATGATTGTGCTCATTTTTAACAAAAACTCATTATTTCTAAAAACAACACAATATTTTGCTATTATAATATGAAATGCTTATAAATTTAAGATTTAGAAACAAGACAGAAGAATGTAAGAAAAGCATGTTTTGCAATGTAAATAACTGAATAAATATCAACTAACAACACATTAACAAACTGTGAAAATGCAGTTTATGAAATATATCTGTATATAATATAATGTCCAGTAATCCTCAGACTTGGTCCCTCTGAAACAGAAAATAGAGAAAAAAGTGTTTATTATTATTATTATTATTATTAGTAGTAGTAGTAGTAGTAGTAGTAGTAGTAGTATTATTAGTATTATTAATAATAATAATAAGAATTATTATTATATATTATTAGACTTCAAGACAATAAATAAATAAAACTGAAATTATACTGCTAAAGATGTAATGGTATGAATATTTAATATAATAATTAATGACCCACAAGTTGTCACATTTATTAATATTATCATTTTTATGAACTGAAAATGTAAAAAATAATAAACAAATTATCAAGATTATTCTTATCAGTTTATGACATGAAAATGCTAAGAAAATTATCAAATGTTCTGATATTATACAGTTTTTTATATAATGTTAAAAATTTATATTTAATTTTAATATTGTGTTATTAATATTATCACTGCTTTTTTTCATTTATATATATATATACAGAAAACATTCAACAATAAAGCTCACACACACTTAAAATGTGTGTGTGTGTGTGTGAAAATGGCAACTATAGTAACATAATATAATAATGGTAAAAATAGTATAGTAAATAAAAGTACTTGTATCGTCTGTCTTATGTGTATAGTCCAGTATTTTAGAGTATATGTTAGTAATGCATAGTTAGTTTTTTAAATAGCTCTTATATCCAGTGTTGTGTTTGTATTTATGATTAATTTATGTAGCACTGATGTCTTTCGAGACACGACATTTCATTCCTCTAAATGTCCACACATGCAGCAGGATGACAATAAAGCTCGACTTGACCTGACTTGATTATAAAGATTATTACTGATCGACGGTGGACTTACATTAACTCTCTGGTGGAGGCAGACAGGAGTTTCTGCGCGAGCGGCACTTATTTTTCTGTATAACAAAACCAAACAAGCAACTTTTATTTAAAAAAACAAATAAATGTGTTAGCTGAGAGATACTGCATGAACTCTGTGTGATGAGATATAATTTAATGTATAAAGTTTTACCCTTTCATGCAGACGGAAGTGAACCGCTGCGTCTGACAGCCACGGGTGCCTGAGTGCTTCTGTCGCTCCGATTCTCCAACTACACACACACACACACACACACACACACACACACGCACAGAAACAAGACATGGAATACCACTATACTGGACTATACATCACTACATCAGAAAGACATGCAACTTTTTCCATTTGTGTATCATTTCATTAAAAAACAAGCAGAAATTGGTAAAAATAATAATTATGTATTATTTTTTTATTATTATTATTATTATTATTATTATTATACCGTTTATTTTACCAGAAAAGACACATTAAGATTAAAAATCTCTTTTACAAAAGT